CAGCATCACACTGTTGACTCATATTTAGCTTGTGGTCCACTATACATGAATGAAATGGGATAGTAGGCATTTTTAGAATAAACCACAATCCTGCAAGCCTTAATTCAGGCAGAATTACCATTGAAGTAAGTACTGCAGGATAGGGGTCTGATGGCATGATCCAAAGTCCAGTGAAATCCATGGAAAGGCTCCCATTGACTTCTTTGGGCTTTGGACTTGGCCCTTAGTGAAAATTCAGTACAAATATTAGGTTTGTAATATTTCACATATACAAACTGGATCAGCACAATTGGTCTGATAAATTAAGCACAGGTCTAGGAATCGAGAGACCTGGTTCTAACTTTGACTCTGCCACCGACTTGCACTGTGAATTTGGGCAAGTCCCTTGACTTCGCTATTCCTTACTCCATCTTTAAGAACAAGAAATGATTATTCTTACTCACTATTATACAGTGCTTTGAGCTCTTTGGATACAAATACTATATTTATCTCTGCATATAGCTCTTTAAATAAAAGTACTCTATACATTTTCCTTTGTGTGTATATGCCAGTGTAATTCTATACTGTGATGTGAAGTATAATAATTATCTTATATTATTACAATGTTAAAAATCTATCTGTTGTCAGGACCCTATTTATAATTAGTGCAGTTTCCCTTGAGTACTGTTAGCAATTAATCTCAGAAATCTGGACAAATTGAAAACGTACCTGTGCTCCTCTGTGTAGGCATTTTAAAAATTAAACGATTAATTTTTCCACTGTGGTTTTTCTAAATATTTTACAATGACGAGATTGCACTTACAAAATTAAATCAGAAAAAAAAAACCTCGCTGTGTTTAAAATGCCTGGATCTCAGTGTTAGTGAGAAAGAAACTTTCACTTTGGCCAGATGAATAGCCCTAAATATGAACTGTTTCTTCTTCCGTTCTCTTATTGTCTCACTAGTGCCTCATTGTGAATTTCTTTAGCAAACAGATCAATTGGATGGGCAAATATTTGCCCAGCTTCCCAAGGATGTTTGGTGTGAATTTTTTGAGCTGGTGTTTGCTCAGTCGTTTCCTTTTTTTTAAGTAAATAAAATTCTTTCTGTATTTTTCACTGACATCTCTGAAACTCAGTCCATTTTTATTTGGCTCAACAAAGATATCATGGGCCATATTAATTCCTGATATAATTATTTCCATGGATTAATTTGACCCATTGTTTGGGGAGATAATTTAATGATGTTTTGGGGGATTTGGCTAATTTATTGTTAAAAGTTCTATCTGTCTATCTCTGGGTATATATATATATGTTTGTGTATGTGTAGATCTAGATCAGGGGTGGCCAACCTGAGCTTGAGAAGGAGCCAGAATTTACTAATGTACATTGCCAAAGAGCCACAGTAATACGTCAGCAGCTCCCCATCAGCTCCTCCACCCACCCCCCACCCCCCGGCTCCCAGCACCTCCCACCCACCAATCAGCGCCTCCCACTCCCTCCCCACACCTCCTGATCACCTGTTTCATATGTACAGGAGGCTCTGGGGGGATGGGGAGGAGCGAGGGCATAGCAGGCTCAGGGGAGGGTGCAGGAAGGCATAGAATGGGGGCAGGGCCTGTGGCAGAGCCAGGGGTTGAGCAGTGAGCACCCCCCGGCACATTGGAAAGTTGGGGCCTGTACCTCCAGCCCCAGAGTCGCTGCCTATACAAGGAGCCACATATTAACTTCTGAAGAGCCACATGTTGGCCATCTAGAGCTATAGGCTTGTAGTTTTTGTTTAAAAAAAAACAACAACTAGCTAAAATGCTCACTAAGGGCCAAGTCTACTCGGCCCTGGCTAAGTATCTCCTAACCACTTACCCTGGAAACCTGAACTTTTCCTCTCTGGGAGCCCTAACCCTCTCTTTTCCAGATTCCCATTCATGTATCACGCATCCTTCAAACAGGTGAATGGCATGGGACCTCTTATGAGGCTGAGGCAACACTGAGTGAGTGCCTGGAGGTTCTTATACAGTAAGTGGCCACTGCCCTCTTTCCTGCACTTGAATCAGGTCACTTCCATGAACTACACCAGCCTGGACAGCATAACACCCAAAGTCACATTTGAGCCGCACCACTGCGATACCCACTGCGGCCACCGTTCCTCCAGCCACTTATTAATTTAATGTTAATGCCTTGTTATCTCAATATTCATAATGTATTGAGCCACGCAAGTCATTAAAGTTAATTTCAGCTAGGGCTCAGGCATGCTGACTGTAACTTCTTATTCATATTTCTTTCTTGTTTTGTGATTCTCAATTGGAGTTTTCTAATAACAGATCATTTCTTTTTGTCTAACTTTAATCTGGCCCTGCTTGACAAGCACCATCCTTTTCATTGAAGGGTAAGACCACTTAAAGAAAGGCCAATAAGCCCTTGCACTGCTCAGCTGACTAGGGTGATTTGTCACCCTGTGCAGTGGTGGTCACACCAATGGATTTATCTCAAGGTAAATGGAGATGCTGAGACCTGGGACCTGGAGCTTTGATTAAGGCCCCCTTTTTGTAGTGTTGATAGATGTTGCTTGTGTTTATCTATTTGAAATGCCACTAAATCTGTGAATACAATGGAAAAAGAGAGTAGTTTGCAGCTGAAAACATATTAGTGATTTATGTTTCACTAAGAAGCACAATAAAGAGACAGAGGCTATTAAGAGGAGCTATTTTCATGAGAAATAGTTCTGCTTTAAAACATTATCAACCACACCTTGATAAAGACCTACATGCATGCATAATCATGTTTACTTATCCCTTTAGTTTAGCACAATATACATTTGCAATGCATAGCCCCAAATTATTAATAAGCTGGTAAGCAGAATCTTTAACACACAAACACGCAGGAACAGACTACTTTGCATGTTAATTGTCTTCTGGAGTAAAGGGGGACACATAATACACTGACCCAGGACTTTAGATGGACTCCACATCCCTTAAAACAGTTTCAAATCCTACGGACCATTATTGCCGGCATTTATTCACAACATTTTAGTAGAAATAACCAGTGGGGTGACACAAAAAGATTATAATGCATTGATATAACTTATAACATGAATCAATGTCAACAAGACGCACCCATTTAAATGAATAGGGTCAGATGAGAGTGCTGTATCACCCTGACTTGTGTGACAGTTACAAATGCATAACCTAGTATGCATAATAGGAGTGTACAAACCAGTAGAGATTTGTAAACTTGGTTCATTTCAAGCAGAACTGACCCACAGGAACGGAAAAGGGAAAAAGCAACTGAGCTGTCTAAAAATAAGTGATTCTGTAGTTTGCTGTTTAACGAAAAGCATAATGAGGTTTCATTTTCTCAAGCTTGAATAGAGAACATGGACCCAAAATGCTATTAGGTAGCCAAGCTGCTGCTTCTCTGCAACGTTCAATTAAAAGAAAAAGATAACACATTCGGTTCCAAACGCATTGCTGTTTACAAATGCAAAATAATGCTTCAACAGTCTGCCCTGTGTATGCAAATCCTGCAATTACATGTTTGGAATGAACTGTGCTGTGTTATGATTTATTTAAGTGTTCTGAGGTTTTCTCTTCAGCACTAATGAACGATGGGGGTTGGGGGGTGGGGGGAGAAGAAAGGCTGTATAATGTGTGTGCACCTGGAGCATGAAAACTAGTACAGTAAGTTATGTATCAGTAGGGTGATGCTCTGTCTATGGCTTGGCACTGCAGTGTACTGACAGTCTAGCAAAGCTCTTAAATCTGGACAACACCTGCACCTCATTTGCTTTACAGAAGCGCCATGACCCGACTGCTGATGGTGAGCCTTCCCTTTCATCCTTAGGATTATGACAAGTTATTAATTGCCACCATTAGCTGCAGCAGCCTGCCTGAGATCTCTGCTGCTCTCTGGAGGTGAGAAACTATGTGCATGTGAATGCAGAGAGAAAGGCTGTGAAGCATTGGGGCAAACCGAGCAACAATCTGCCCAAAAGGGATTGTGAGATTGTGAATAATTTATTAGAAAACATTTTTCTTTGTCCTTCCCACAGACCCACAAATCCTCCCCAAGCGCTCTTTACCAGCCTTGCAGATAATGTACTTACACATCTCAGAGCTTGCTAAATAGACTGAGCAGGCCACAGAGTTCACCCTTAACGCTGCTGTTTCAGAATGCCTTGCACAGACGAACCACTTTCATTCTTTCCTGGAAGCATTTCCTATGGAATTTAATGTAATTGGGTAAGAATCTGAATGCCAAATGAGCGCTGAGTGCCAGAGTAGTAAGTTGTGTGTGTGTGTGTGTGTGTGTGTGTGTGTGTGTGTGTGTGTGACAACTATGTATTGTAGTTGGCCTTGTTCTGAGTATCTAGTTGGGACCAAATCCTCAGCACT